CCTGGTCTGTCCGTCGCCCACCTGGGCCCGCTTCCCCGGACCCCCTCGAGTCATGCGAGAAGGCACGACGGGAGATGCTTCGCTACATTCGGCCTCTGGGGCCCTCACCGGCCCTGGGAGCCGTCAAAGAACGACGCAGGAGGAGAAACTGGTCCCGGTGAATGGGTCCGGACCTTTGGGGGTCGCGCACCGTGGTCGGGGGCGGAAAAGAGGGGGGGGATGATGAGGGGGGTGGATATCATGGCGTGGGCCATGACATTTCCCCAGATGTCATGGCGCCTCATCTTATTTCATTACGTTCCTGGCCCCCCCGCTGGGCCGCGCACATGCCGCCGGATATGATCTGCACCCCTCTCTCTTGGAAACCCCCCTCTGTGCCGCTCACGACATGGAATCGTGATGTCGGGGGCCTGGGTCTCCCCCGTGCCAGCAAGGGGTGCACCGGTCGCAGCGCACCTACTTCGACCCGCACGCCTCCGCGCCCTCGCTGCTCGGCTGCCTGGAGCAGGACGCGCCCCCCGTGGCGCAGGGCGCCGCCGACGACGAGGTGCCCCTGGTCGCGTTCCCACTCGCAGGAAGGGGAGCACGGCAACCTCGGGCCCCTTTTTGTCCACCCACCAAACCACCCCAACCCAACCCGAAGGCCTCCATGTGCCCTCCTTCTCCAGTGGGGGGGGTCCAGGGACATCGACAAAAAACACATGAGGAGCCCATACCCCCCCCCCAACCCGAACTTCGGGTCTTCGGGTTGGGTTGGTGTGGTCTGGTAGGTACTCACCTTTTGTCCACCACACTCCCTTGGGAGCCGCGGTCTATGCAGCATGTCCTCTGCCCCGGAGGCGAGGCCCTTCTTCGGTCCGGGGGCCAGGCCAGGAGGGCACATGCACCGCCAGGATGGACCCAGCCGGGGGCAGTGGGTATGTATAGGTCTCGTCGCCCGATTCCCTGTCCAGGTTCCGCATCCTCCTCCTCGGCGGCTCCCCCTTCGGGAGGCAGACAACGTGTCAACGGCACGCGGCCGCGGCCGCTGGTAGTCCGCCAGCGTGTGAGTCTCGCGTTTTTGTCCGGATGCCTGGCGCTCTCCCTTAGCAGTCACACGCTGATGGACTGCCCACGGTGGCGTGTCATGAAGGCTGCGTTTGCTCCCTCATCCCCTTCCCCTTCCCCTCCTCATTCCCACCGCAGTGGGTGCTTACAGCGCCGTGACAAGACATCGCCTAATGTTTGACAGGCTGGAGCAGCGTTGACCAGAGGTGCCCCGTGAATTAGGCGCGCAGAGCCCAGTACAAAGTGACGGGAGTGGAGATGATCCATCGGGGGGTGGGCAACCTCGGGCTTGTACCTTTAATGCTGCTTTGACAGGGTACACGAGGTGGCGTTTCGTAAAACGGTGAATGCCCTCGATGAAAGGTTATCGCAAGGTTTGAGAACTGGCTCCAAACCAAGGAAACATAGATCAAACAAGAGAATAGGTGGCGGCGTCTCGTGCGGGACTTCCTCGAAAAACAGGTTCGGACCAGGTTCGAACTCGGTTCGAAACCATAGATAAGTGAGTGTTTCGTGCTGAACGTCGTCGGAAAGCAGGTTCGAAGCAGGTTTAGTACCGATTGAAACAATAGCAAAGTGCGCGTTGCGTGCGGGACTTCGTCGAAAAGCAGGTTCGAACCAGGCTCTAATCTGGTTCGGAACAGGTGCAAAGTGAGCGTTTCGTCTGGGTGAACTTGTGTTCGTCTGCATTTTGCGAAATTGTACAGCATCGTGCCCAAGAACGCCGCAGTAGCAACATTGGGTGAAACTTGAATCACGCCCATGTATGCGACAGGGGGGGCAATGTAAGGGGATGCCCCAAGGATCTTGGGCCATCCCCCGATCAGCTCGCTTAGGACAAACATCCCTCACCTTGAAGGCGGGCGATGTTTGGTCTAAGCCAGCCTGTAAGTTGGTTACAAGTGCCCCGAGTGGCTTGGGGGCAAAGATCCGGGCAAAGTGGGCAAGCCCACTTAGCGTAATCGTTAGCCCCCGCCCCCATCTTGGGCTTCTGGTGCCCGCACGCAAGCCGGGTCAGTTCAGATACACCCCACCTTCGCATCCCTCTGATCGGGTATAGCCAGGACCCGGGTTAAGGGGAGCCCGATAGTGGTTGGTCCCCGAAGCCCCAAATATGGGCTGGAATGTCTAAACCAGGTCTGCCGTAGCTGGTGTTTTTCGGGTGGCGGCAGTTCCGGTAAGTGGAAAGGGGCGGGGGGCGGCGTTCCCCAGTACACATCACTAAACCAGGACCCTCTAAACCCAGACCTCCGACGTCATGATTTTTTCATGACGCGACCCCCAGAGGTCCGGACCCATGCTCCGGGACGGGCTTCTCATCCCGAGTCGTTTTTTGACTATCCCGAGGCCCAGTGAGGGCCCCAAGGGGCCGAAAATGGCGAAAAACCTTCCGTCGTGATTTTTTCATGACTCGAGGGGGTCTAGGAACCCAGTCCTGCCAGCGCCCGATCTGAACCCCCCACATCCCCTCGGACCCCCCTCCTTGGCTCTTCGAGCGTCTGGGCTGTTTGGGGGCCTCCAGAGGCCACGCCTCGCCTCCCCCCGCCTCGACCCCCAGCCCCATCCCCGGACCCCCGAAGCCATGCTTTCTTGCTCACGGCCTCTGCTCCCCGGGACCAGCTTTTCATCCTGAAGCGTTATTCTCATTGCCCTGGCGCCCAGCGAGGGCCCCCGGATCGCGAAAGTCGCAGCCAACAGGATCCGTCGGGGGTTTGTCGCGGCGCGAGGGGGGCCAGACCTCCCCCTCCATGCCAGCCGGCTTGCCCGAGCCTGCAGAGAAACGGCCTCTCTACCCTCGGCCGAGGCCTCGGTCGTCCTCTTCGTCCCTCCTCGATCCTACTCCTCGATCCTCCTCGATGCTCCTCCTCACCCTCCTCCTCGCCGTCCTCCTCGATCCCTCCTCCTCTTCGATCCTGCTCCTCCACCTTCGACCCTCCTCCTCCTCCTCCTCCTCCTCCTCCTCCTCCTCCTCCTCTCCCTCCCCTTCCTCATCCTCCTCCTCCTCCTCCTCCTCCTCCTCCTCCTCCTCCCTCCCTTCCTCTTCCTCCTCTCCTCCTCCTCCTCCTCCTCCTCTTCCTCCTCCTCCGCCCCTCCTCCCTCCTCCTCCTCCTCTTCCTCCTCCTCCTCCTCCTCCTCCTCCTCCTCCTCCTCCTCCTCCTCCTCCTCCTCCTCCTCCTCCCCCCCTCCTCCTCCTCCTCCTCCTCCTCCTCCTCCTCCTCCTCCTCCTCTCCTCCTCCTCCTCCTCCTCCTCCTCCTCCTCCTCCTCCTCCTCCTCCTCCCTCCCTCCTCCTCCTCCTCCTCCTCCTCCTCCTCCTCCTTCTCCTCCCCCTCCCCCCTCCTCCGCCTCCTCCTCCTCCTCCTCCTCCTCCTCCGCCTCCTCCTCCTCCTCCTCCTCCTCCTCCTCCTCCTCCTCCTCCTCCTCCTCCTCCTCCTCCTCCTCCTCCTCCCCCTTCCTCCTCCTCCTCCTCCTCCTCCTCCTCCTCCTCCTCCCTCCTCCTCCTCCTCCTCCTCCTCCTCCTCCTCCTCCTCCTCCTCCTCCTCCTCCCCCGCCCCCGTTCTCCTCCCCTTCGCCACACCTCAGGGCGAAGCGCCGCGACGTGCTCCCAGACCTCGCTAGGGTCGGCGGCCCTGCAGCGCTCGCGCACCTCGCTCGGGCCGAGGTGCTCGGCCGCGCAGCCGGAGGCGCCGGCCGTGCAGCGGCCGGAGCTCGTGCAGCGCCAGCCGACTCGGGGGCAGCGTCGTGGGGGGGGGGCTGTCACAAGGGGGGTCCTCCTCCTCCTCCTCCTCCTCCTCCCTCTCTCCTCCTCCTCCTCCTCCTCCTCTTCCCCCCTCCCCCCTCTCCTCCTCCTCCTCCTCCTCTCCCCTCCTTCTCCTCCTCCTCCTCCTCCTCCTCCTCCTCCTCCTCCTCCTCCTCCTCCTCCTCCTCCTCCTCCTCCTCCTCCTCCTCCCCCCTCCTACCTGACTCAGGGGCAGCGTCATGGGGGGGGGCTGTCACAGGGGGAGAGGAGCATGGGTCGAGGAAGAGGAGCAACTGCGGTCGGGCACTTTCGATAGCGTGTCGTCGCGCCGGCTCTGGCCTGCCACGCTTCGGAGCGACGCGCTGTCCACTTCCGGGTCCCCAGGCGTCAACGTCCCGAGCCTTCCGAAGCCTCGCGCCCTTCGAAGCGGCGTGACACGCCACCCATTCGCAGGGCATAGCGTGCCGCCCAGCCTGTTGTGGCGACGCGATAGGCTAGAGTTCCTGGCCAGACATCGGAGTGAGGGGGGCCAGCGGTCTTACAACGTCCTTGGTTGCGTGGCTGAAGTGGGCTTTATTGGCACGAGTTCTGCTCGAAAACTCATCCCTGAAAGGACAGATTATTGTTGATCCCCCCTGGTGCACATTCGGTTGGTCAATTGAAGTACCCTTCCCGTGGCCCGCACCTTGTTTTTTACAAGGGAACGTATTGCGCCTCAGACTGGGCCCCTGGTTACCTGTTTACAACAACAGCGGCTCCCGCGGGATAACATCCTCACAGTATCTTGGGAAATTGGGCCTTCGCTGGTCGTTTTCTCGCAATGCATCCAGGAATCGCGCTCTCGCCTGGGACTTCCTCACCATTCATTCACAATTCGCTCTCTCGGCGCTCTGGAATGGCGCCTTCTCTTGGGACGTCCCCACACTTTGCTCCGGAACCGCCGTCTCGTGTAAGATCTCCTTGCTGCCTCCTCTTGTCAATCCCTCTCGTCCTCCATCTTCTCCCGCTTTCGCTCTTGCCCACGTCCCTTCTCCCTCCCTCCCTCCACCCTTCTTCTCCTCGGTGCCCTTTTCCCATTGTTCCTGTTACTCCTGGGCTAAGGGCTGTGCCGACTACTGTACGGGGCAGGGAAGGAAGATCTGCTCCCCCAAATGGGGTCACGACCACAGACGAAGAGGGCGGGTATCGAGGGTTGGGGGAATCCATGTTGAACGACACGCGAGCTCATGAAAGCGAACGGTCTTGAAATGAATGAATGCTGTTGTCGTCGACCCACCCGTGACCCACCCCGCGACCCACCCCGCGACCCGTTGCGCGACCCTCCCGTGACCCACCCGCGACCCACCCCGCAACCTTCCCCGCCCCCTTCAGTCTTAACCGCAATTTCGGGGTGCTACGTAAACGTTATGTTGCTTCGAGCGATCCTCCCCCGAGATCGTGAGGGGTGATCCCCAGGCAGCACTGGACCCCTTGCGTCCTGGCGGCCGCGGTCTGCAGTCGCCGTTTGTCGGAGACGCGAACAGAAGCATCGATCGGACGCAGCCACATCGAAAGAGGAAGCGCAAGCATTGATGACGGCGCGTGGTTCAGCGACGGGTACCGCTCTCATGCGGAATCGACTCGCTCCGTCGCCAAATCAGGGTGCACTGGCTTACTGCTTCGAGGGGGGGTACTGTTCCCGATCCCTCGATCTGGCGCCCACGCAGCAGATCCACGGAGCTGTAAGCTAGGTTGACGAGTGCCCGCTCATAAAGCCTTCGGAGTTCCGCGCGGAGTCGCTGGACCCGTGGAAAGGGGTTCCTTCCTCGACGGCGTCTCGGGCGCCGCCCCTGGCGCGCTGCGCGCGCCACGGCAAGGAGGTCCAGCGTTGATTGCAGACGCCTGCGCGGATCTCTGCAGGCTTACGCCGATGCCATCTCTTCTCTTTCCATGATTGGCTCCCGGGGGGGAAGCATCTCGGGAGCGAAAGAGGGACTTACAGTCGGGGCGCTGAAGGAGGAACCCTTTTCGTTGGGAAGGGGCTCGGTGTTCCTTGATTGTTTCACAGTTTGCCTCAGGTGTTCCCGAAGTTGTTTTCCATGGGACATCGAAGTTCAGTTAATGGGAAAAAGGGGGCTCGTTCCTTATTTAGGGTTCCTTAGGTCAACGCCCTGACGGTACACGTACATGAATCCACGTTTGTAGCACGACGGTGCGCACTGCGCGAACGTTCGCATCGCGAGGCTGGTCTCGCGGACTGGGGGGCCGTGCTCTTGTGCGTGGTTGTTCGCATACGCCCTTTGCGGCTTCCCTGGCATTGAGCCGGGCATGTCCCGCTGCAGGGGGAATATTCATACAGGGGGCGATGCTTCTTCTACTATGTTTGACTATTTGGGAGCATTTGTTTGAGCGTCTTTTAGATTTTCCTTTCAAAATCCCCCTGTAGGGGGACATGCCCGACCTAACCCTTCGGATGCAACCTCTGGGAGGTCAAATGCTGATTTTGCCCTGGTCCGAAATCCGGCTTAATCCCGCTTAATCCGGATTCATCCTGCTTAATCCCGCTGAATCCAACTGAATCCCGCTTGATCCGAGGCCAACTCTGGCGTAACAGCCCCCCAATCGGGCTTACTCCTCCTTGATCCTTCCGACGAAGACCTCCCAGCGGTTGTCTCCTAATATCAAGCAGTGACGAAGCGTCTTGGCTCGCCTATAGCCCTACCAAACAATGTTCTAATAACCTTTTGTGCTTTCCACGAAATGTTCTTAGAACATTTCTGGTTGAGGCTGTTTGGGGTTCTGAGAACGCTTCGTGGTAGGACTATAGGACTGCCGGGACGGTCGGCCCCTGCTCCATACCAACCCGGGCGTCGACACCCCCACTTCGGGGGTTGCTAAAGGTGCCCCTGGCCCAAGGTGCCCCCAGCTTTTCGATCAACTTTGAAGCCCCTGGGGACCTCTGGGCCTCGTGAGGGGTGCTCTGGAGGCCGTGGGGGCCTTCCTGGAAATCCTGGGGGCACCTTGGCCCGGGGGCACTTCTGGCAACACCCGACGCCACTGCGCAGGCGTCGCCGCGCGGGCCCCAGGCGGCAGCCCCTCCCGCCCTGTCCGCCCAGAGGGGAGCCCGCGGCCTCTCTCGACCTCGGGGCGCCCTCCCCCCCTCGCCCCGCCGGGGCGCTGCCCCGCCGATCCCCGGGCGCCCTGCGCTCCGCAGGGCGCTCGCGGACGCGCGGTCGAGGCTGGCACCAAGTCGGGCACGTCCCCCTACAGGAGGAGCGTTCGCACGTCGTCGAAGAAGGTATAGTCCGGGGACGACCCTTGCTGCCATGCTTGGCCAGTTTCTGAGTCTGCTCTGGCTTCTTCTGTTTGTTTCTGTTCTCTCGTCTTTCGCCCAGACTCCGCCTCTAGCAGGACCTGCCCGACCTCAGGCTGACCCTCGGGGGACCCCCCTGGACCCTGTGCGTGAAGCACGGGGGGGGACTCGGGCCCTCCCTCCTGGGGCTGCCCCTGCCGAGTCTCCCCCCCCCCCCGAGGCAGCTCCCCCCTCCTGTCCCTTGGCATCGCTCGGACGTGTGCATTTTTCCTTCGGCGAGGACCATCGAGGAGCATCCGTGATCATTTGGCGAAAAAAACCACGCACGAAACCGAGCAAAAGCACAGGGAATGGACGTCCGTACCCCCCCCCCCCCCGAGGCAGCTCCCCCCTCCCCGAGGCAGCTCCCCCCTCCTGCCCTGCCCCCTCGCAGACCTCGCACACCTCTCCGGGGCCGGCGGCCCTGCCGGGGTCGCCGCCGCCGGCGCGGGGCGGGCCGCCCCGGTTCCGGATGCTCCACTTCGAGGCCACCAAGCTGAGGCCGGGGGCGCGCAGATCGGCATTGCTCGGGGGCGGAAAAGAGGGGGGTGATGACTAGGGGGGGGTGGATATCATGGCGGGGGCCATGATTTTTCCCCAGATTTCATGGCGCCTCTTCTTACTTCATTATGTCCCAGGCCCCCCCGCTGGGCCGCGCACATGCCGCCGGTCATGATTTGCACCCCCCCTCTTGGACACCCCCCTCTTTGCCGCTCCCGAATTGCGATCAGGTCGGGCATTCTGCACGCACGAAATGGGTACTGAAAGAATGGGCACAATGCCCAACAGCGGGTCTAGTTCATGTTGAACAGGGCTCGCTGTCCACGCCGCCGCGGCCTGTGCCCGTTCGAGACAGAAGACCGCCTGCCCAACAGCGGCCGCTGTTGGTTCGGGACAACATTTGCTGTTGGGCATTGTACCCATTTTGTCGGGACCCATTTCGGGCGTCCAAAGACCAGGTCGGGCATGGCCTCCCACAGACGGATCTTGGACGAACTAGTTTTACAGTTGTCAACAGGGCAGTCAAGAATAGTCAAAAGTGCACTCAAGAAAAATCCTCACCAGACACGGTTTCACCATTCTTGGGATATTCCTTTCACGTGGAGGGGCATGCCCGACGTAACGCTGCGATCGAGGGGGGGGCGGACAGAGTGGGGACGAAGGCACGCAGCAGTTCCAGTGCACTCCGCGCAGGCCTCGCCGTCGGCGTCGCCGCGCACGTTGCCCGTTCGGAGCGGCGGCCTCCTGCCCAGCAGCGGCCGCGCCGGGATCGGGCCGGAGACGGCGCGCGCCGTGGGGCGTCGTGCCAGCGTCCTGGCATCGCTCGGACCTGTTTTTTTTGTTGTCCTCTGCCCGGGCCATCGAGGAGCATCCTGGGCCATCCTGCGAGAAGTGCACGCGCGGCATCGAGCAGGGCACGGGGAGAGGACGTCCGCGCGATGGCGAGGCGCTCCCCCCTCCCATCCCGGGCGCCCAGACCTCCAGGCGCAGACCATGGGAGCCCGGCGTGTCCTCGCAGCTGCGCCTGCAAAAGAATGCCTCCTCGTGCGCTGGCGTCTGGCAGTCGACACGAGGCAGCGCAGACCTTGCCTCACAGCGCTCGCGCCGACCAGCCTCGAGCAGCGTCGATCCGCAGGGGCCCGCAGGGCGGAAGGCGGAATGGCAGGCCCCGCTGACTCGACCCCTGAGCAGACCACGTGGGCGACGCAGCAAATTACCAGCCTGGCACATATCCCTATCCCTAAGCTGGGCACCGCCTCATCACAGTGCCAATCTTAGGGATTCCCTTATGTTTTGAGGGCGCATCCCTGAGATTGTCCTCGCCTCTTGGCGTGTCAATCTTAGGGATGGGGATCAGTTCGAGGCTGGTAAGCAGAGGCGGGGCCGTCGGCGCCGACGCTGGCGCGCGAGCTGCCCGCGCGAGGTCGCGCGTCGGCGTCCTGGCCTCGGCCTCGGCGGGCCGCGCGGGCGGCCCACCGCGCGAGGCCGCCGTGGCCCCTCGCGCACGGCCTCGGCGTTGGCTCGGCGCCCACGCGGGGCTCCGTGGCTCGGCGGCCCGGCGCGGCTGCCCCGCGCGGGGGAGGGCTGCAGCCGTGGGACTCTCGGGGCTTGGACCTGAACGGTGTTTTTTGGGCGATGTCGTGGGCCGCTTTCGTGTCGGCTCCGTTCTGCGGTCGAGGTGGAGTCGAGGCAAAAGACGAGGGAGAGCGAACAGACAAGACGAAGACGAGAAACGCCGTTCGGGTTCAGCTCTGGTGGGACGGCGCGTCGCGCTGTGCCCTCGCACCACGCGGCGCGACGTGGCCCCGAAGAGGCGTGGACGCGGGCGTGCTCGACGCTCGCGCGAGAGGCAGAGAAAAGGTCGAGCGGAGGGGATCGACTGCAGAAGGGATGCCCTTTTTAAGACTACTTCGAAGTCGGGCGTGTCCCTCTACAGGAGGAAGGAGCAGTCAAACAGAGTCAAACAAATAGTCAAACATAGTCAAACATAGTCAAAAACAGTCAAACATAGTCAAAAACATAGTCAAAACACATAGTCAAACATTGTCAAAAAACATAGTCAAAACATAGTCAAACATAGTCAAAAAATAGTGCGGGGACGATGTCTCGATTCTGTTGTTGACTACTGTTGTGAGTTGTTTGCAATGCTTTTATTACCATTCCTCCAGAGCCCGCCTGTGGGGGGACATGCCCGACCTGAAACTAATTCTGGGCCTCCTGGATGGGGTCGGAGTGGATGGGGTCGGAGGATCGCTCCGCATTGCCGATGTATCGGCGATGCGGCTCGATGCGGAGCCCGACTTTCTCCGCGCCGGCGTCGCCGATGTGCCGCCGACGTTGACGATGCATTGCCAGTGCATCGCCGATGCATCGTCGATGTAACTATTGGCGATGCGGCGCGATTCTCAGACCCCATCTACTCCGACCCCATCCAGGAGGCCTCTGCTCATGAGTTTCGTCAAATCTGCGAAACACGCGTAATACGTCTAGTCGATCTGGGGGCATGCTCTCGACTTGTTCCTGGACTCCATGGAAGAAGGACAAAACCCTCGGGTCAAAAGCAGTTCCGCAGTCGACCCCCCCTCGCTCGCTCCTCCTCCTCCTCCTCCTCCTCCTCCTCCTCCTCCTCCTCCTCCGCCTCCTCCTCCTCCTCCTCCCTCCTCCTCCTCCTCCTCCTCCTCCTCTCTCCCTCCTACCTCCTCCTCCTCCTCCTCCTCCTCCTCCTCCTTCCACCTCCTCCTCCTCCTCCTCCTCCTCCTCCTCCTCCTCCTCCTCCTCCTCCTCCTCCTCCTCCTCCTCCTCCTCCTCCTCCTCCTCCTCCTCCTCATCCTCCTCATCCTCGTCCCCCTCGAGACAGGGCACGGCCAGATGTGTTGTCCCTGCCTTCCCAGGCGGGCGCGGGCGGGGCCGTCTCTCCGAGAGGGGGCCAGTCCCCCGACGGGTGGCCCGTGCACGTCGCAGCCGCGCCCTTCCGGAGGAGGAGGGGCTGGAGGAGGAGGAGGAGGAGGAGGAGGAGGAGGAGGAGGAGGAGGAGGAGGAGGAGAGGAGGAGGAGGAGGAGGAAGAGGAAGAGGAGGAGGAGGAGGAGGAGGAGGAGGAGGAGGAGGAGGAGGAGGAGGAGGAGGAGGAGGAGGAGGAGGAGGAGGAGGAAGAGGGGGAGGAGGCGGAGGAGGAGGAGGGGGGGGGCCCGTGGTGCCGGGGCCCCCATTGGCCGTTCCCGCGCGCTGCCGGCGAGGGGCGGGCTCAGCGGGTACAGGGCCAGGATCGAGGCCCTGGTGTTCTACTTCCGCGGGGAGCCCCAGGATCGGCGGCGAGCGAGGTGTGCGGGCGCCTTCGTGGCTTCGGGCGGTTTCCTAGTTCCTTGGCGGTCTTCCGCCCTCGGGGTGCCTTCAGCGGCTGCGCCGCGCCGAGGGCGTTCAGGGGGTTCCCGGATCGTCCAGAACGAACGGCCGCCGGAGATCCGATTTATGAGCCAAAAATTGCATTTGGCGGCACGCAACGGGGGGGGGGAGTGAGAAGGAGAAGGCCTTCTCAGAAGGCCGCGGGACTTCTCAGAAGCCCTTGCGCATCCGGAGAAGTCTGTCTATGTCTTCGGGGAAGGCTCCGAAGATTTCTCAGAAGGCCGGGGAACTTCCGAGCCTTCCGAGAATGCATTCTGCTTCTCATTCCCCCCCTGAGCTCGCCGCTGACAGGAGGCGACGGTGGTCAGCAAGGTGCCCTACATCGTGTCCTTCAGCAGACCCACGCAGGTCGACGAGTTCAGGTTCAGAACGGAGAACGACGACCCGCGCCTCGACATACTCCAATGGCACCTGTCCGGCTCTCCCGACGGCAGCATGTGGCGAGACATCCACAGCCAGGTCCCTTCCCTCTCCTCCTCCTCCTCCTCCTCCTCCTCCTCCTCCTCCTCCTCCTCCTCCTCCTCCTCCATCCCTCTCCCATCCGTCTTCCTAATACATGCGCTCCCTCTTATCGCATCCCCAGACGTGTCGGTAGGGCGGACGGGCTGGCCGTTTCCTTTGAGCAATTTTCCCCATTTATGGTGCTGAAGCCGAAACATCTGCACCACCTTCACGAAAGGAGGGCGGGTCGCTTTCTAAATGTAGCCATCTTCTCAATGCCGCGCAGACCTTTCAAACATGCGCAACAGGTTCAAGGATGGACGGCGGGAGGCTTTCTAGTTGTTGCTCTCGCCGTAGCGCCGCGCACACTCGTCTTGAAAGCCTGCAGCAGTTTCGTCGGAGGGAGGAGAAGCGATACCAACACCACCAGGGGACCCACCTCCAGCGAGGAGGTCCACGATGCCTCCCCGAGCTGGATGCTGGGGATGTCTCGAGCGAGAGGGGGGGACCACACCACCAGGGAGACTCCCCTTGCCTCCTCGCACCTCCTCGCCCTGCTGGTGTTGGTGTAGCCTTTCCTTGTTCCCATTTCGAGGATGAAGGGCGGATCTTTTTCAACATGTGGCTGTCGCCGCAGCGGCGCGCGCATTGTTCTCGAAAGTTTGCAGCAGTTTCAAGGGTGCGCGTAGTCGAAGTCCCAGGAGCTGCGTTCTAGCAAGACTCAGGGACGTCAGGACGCAACAGGCACGCTGACTCGCGGCGCTAACATCGATTTACAGATATGTGTACTCTAACACGCGTGGATAATCTCAGGCAGTTGTGTTTAAATGGGGCGTTTCCCGCAATGGAAGTGATTTCTGGTAGGACCCTTGAACAGGCAGCTGAGAGGGAGGGTGTATGGCAACACAGTTGATGTGCCTTGGCTTTACGCTCGTCCTCATCCTCCTCCTTCTCAAATTTGCGAGCTCTCCTCCACGAGCCTCCTGAACGGCCAAAGACATCCCAGCATTATCCTTCATCCTCCGCCCTCCGCTTTCGTCCCATCACCTTTCTCGGTACGCATCCTCCTCACGCGCTGGTGTTATCGATGCGGAATCCTCTTCCTTCCACTCCCTCTCCAGCGTTGCTCTGTAAGAGATGCACTCCCCATTTCTCGGATGAGGTCTCCGATGAAATGCCAGCCCTCATCATCTTTGGCAGCGCGAGCAGGGGGTGGGACGAGGGAGTGACTTCGGAGAGGGCGAGGTGTTTGTTGGTCTGTGTGTCTTAGCGTGGCCTCTCGTGGACGGGGATTGTGTGCTGCTTCTTAGGCTGGGTTGGGTGTTCCTTCTTAGGGTGAGTTCGTAAGTGAGTTTCGCCGAAAGGGATGTTCGCTCCCAAGCAGCATGCATAGTGGCTTCTAAACAGACTCGCGCCTTCCTGGAAGGGGTGCCGTCCCCTCCATCCACTCTTGCGCGCACCGCCGACGTGCTGCCCCCGCCCCACCTCCAGAGGCCTCGGGGAGCATCGGCGGATCTTCCAGACCCCGGCAGGAGCCCTGGGAAGCTCCAGGAGGCCGATACGCCCTCCTGGCCTGTTCGGGGAGGCATGCCGAGGGCTCTTGGTCTCACGGTTGGTCTGGCTCGGGGGCAGTGGAAAGATGTACGGACTTCGCTGCCCTGAACGTATGGGGGCGCAGCTGAGTGGTACCGTAGCGAGGGCGCCAGCATGGGGAGGGCCAGATATATCCCAACAGGGTAGTGGCTTGCCCGCCGCGGGTACCAGAGGAAGCTCAGGCGGCACGCCCGATTGGAGACACCGACGGTCGGATCACAACGAAGCTGATGGCGACATCGTACCTACCCAAACCGCCGCTTGCACTGAAAACAATACATGCGGAGTTTGGAGTCGGCGTCTTCGGTCTTCTGGGAGGGCCCTCGCCGGGCCCCGGGGCCGTCAAGCAGAGCGACTTGGTTGGGCTACGTGTAGGAGTGGCCGTTTGCCGCAGCGACCTTTGGTGCGGGCCTGCAGGGGTCCCCCGTGGATCCTCTGCTCTCAGCACCGGTCTGCGTGCTTGGGTCTTCCCTCCCCTCGCCCTCGCCCCCCCCCCGCCCCCACCCCCAAGGCCCCTAAAGCCCTGCACTAGAGGGCACTCTTGCCCAGGGTCACTATTGCGTGTACCGCGCACTGGGCGACAAGGAGTACACGCGTCTGAAATCCCAAGAGAATGCGTACACTTTCGTGCGCTCCAGATCTCGCTCAAGAGAATTGATAATCTGGGCTGGACTCTGGGCTTTCTCTTGGAGCTAATTTTTTGCGTAGAGTGTTCTTTTATATCTGGGCCTGGACTACTGTTTAAGAGAACGCTTGGAGTGAAGCCGATTTTCTTACCCTAGAATTCTGTCTACTCTAAGCAGTGGTCTTGGCATCGCTTGGACGTGTGCAGGTTCCCTCCTCGACGGGTGCCATCGAGGAGCATCCTGGATCCAGCTGCGACAACAAAGCACGCACGAAACCTAAAGTTGCACGGGGAAGGAACGTCTGAGCGATGGCCCCCCCACCCTCCAGCTTCTGGCGATCGCACACATGGATCAAGGGGGCGTGGATTAGCGACGGGTCCCGTTTCCATGGGAAATCGTGGACATCCGCCACCGAACGAGGCGGCACCGGCCGCATTCTGGTGAGGGCACCTCCCCCAATGCATGGATGTGGCGACCGCGCGCCAAATCCACGAATCGCCAATCCATGCTTGCGCGCTCCCGACTCCAGCCGGGAGGCCCTCTGCCCATAGGCCACAGGGCGTCTCCGAGGGGGGCTCCGCTGTCGGCCCACCTCTCGCGGGGTCCGCCTCGGTCCGATGCCGTGGCGATCCTGGCCGGCCCGAGCCCGATCCGATCCGATCTCTCGATGCTTCGAGCGATCCGGTGCGGCCCGATGCGGGCAGGGCAGGGTACTCCAGATTTCGTAATAAAAGGGAGGGGGTCTGGACCCTCCAAGACAAGCCATTTCAGACCTCCCCCGTGGGAGAACCCTCCAAAACATCGTCCCCAGACCCCCCAGGCCCTCCAAGATAGCCTGGAAGAGACCCCCCCGAAATGAGACCCCCCTCCCTTTGTTACGAAATCTGGAGTAGATGTCGAGGCGTAGATTCGAGGCGGAGGAATGCTGGCGCGCAGGGCGCTCGTGTCGAGTGGCGAGGCAGTTGGCTGCCGCTCCCCTGTGCGGGGCCCGCGGCGATCCGATCGATCCGATCCGAGGTCGGTCTCGGTCCACCTGGTCCTCCCATGGATCCGAGGCGGCCCCGTGTTCGCATGGCGCCGTCGTGCATCCCTTGGCGCAGCCGATCCGATTCGGTCTCGGCCCCGTGCCGATGCGGCCCGATGCGACGCGCAGCTCGATCCGATCTGGTTTCCAGATTCGATGTGGATTGAGCTTGCTTCCCTCAGGAGGAGGACTGTGGGAGGGTACTCCCTTCCGCTCCGGCTTGATGATATCACTGTCGAAAGCCGTCCTAAGCCAGCCTAGTCCAGTTTATTCCCGCCTCAGCCAGCTCAATCCTGGGC